TATCATATAATATATTAATTTATTGTATGCTTAAACCTTTTATCCCATGATATCATAATATAATTTTAAGTGCTTGGATTTCTTTAGTGTCTCCAAAAAAATAAATATTACAAAATTAACAAAAATTTTATCTTTTTAAACCTCTTCAGAATACCTATTTACTGTCTTTTTGCAATTGAATTCCATTTCTTTTCACAGGTAACTAATAAAACCTTTACTTACATCTTTCTTGGAATTCACCTCTAGTTTTTCTAGAGTCCTTTTAAACTTCTGTGCTAAAAGTGTTTCACGATGTTAATCTCCTTGACAAAAACAACACCTCTTGCTCAGTCCTCAAGACTTAAAACATTACCATTAATTTGGGCTCATCTCTTTCCAGAAGAATTACATTCAATAAATTTCCAAGTCCCCTGCTGCATCACTGTTTTAGGCTTTTCTCTTCTTTTTAATTTTACTGCTCTTATCCTAGTCAAGGACCTCCTTATCTGTTGCATAGATTGTTACAGGAGCCTTAACTGATCAAGTGCAGTGTGGTGGAATCATTTCAGGAGACAGTAAGTGTGCTTGTTAATTACAGGGTGCATAAGGAAAAATAAGTTTTCTCTGGTTGGATTTGTAGATATTATCTAAAAAAAGAAGAATGAGCAATTTAAGTTTATTATTGTAAGTGTATAGTTAAACATCTAATGGAACAAAATATTTCAAAGTGGTTGATTATTCATGAAAGGTATCTGGGATGGAGAGGAATGGAAGAGCTGACTGTTTCACAGGTGATCCAGTGAAGTTATTGTATAGTGTTTATTTTATATATATATAATTTTTATATATTGTCTAAAGTTTACATTTATATATATAATTATATATAATGTTTACACATCATTATGTATACATATAAAAATTATATAATGTTTATATATTGTTTTCTAGTGTTTATGTAATATATAAAATGTTATATGTAATGTTATATATGTATATAAAACTACATAAAACATTTATTAAATTTTAAATTAAAGTAAAAACAAGTACAAAGGGGCAAAACATCTGCCAATTCTGGTTTAACTTTTCCTATAATATTTTAGAATATTTTTTCCCCAATCAGTCTGAGAAATCAACTGAAAAAAGAAAATTGTTTTAAGATTAATATTGGGTGATCTTAATGTAATATACCTAAGAAAATGTTTTAGACTTTTCTATCCTTAAAGAAACAGACTATTACATCATTTTCTCTTAAAAATCAGAGGAGACTTTAATGGTTCATGTTAATGGAACATGGTTTTGCATGGCAGTGGTTTATGTCTCACATGTTTTTGTAAATGTGTGTGATTGAGCTCAACAGCATATCAGTGACAAAAAGTTCCAACTCTGGAGCCAGAATACCTGGGTTCAAATCCTGCCTCCACCACTAAGTAACATTGTGGCAATGGATAAGTGAGTGGCTTAAGTTCTCTGTGCCGCAATTTCCTCATCTGTAGAGGCTGGATAATAAAACTAATCTATGTTGTACGGTTGTGGTGGGGATAAAAAGATCAATATATGTACAATGTTTAAAATAGTGCCCAACTCATATTAAATGCATTAAAAGTGTTTGCTATTTTATTAGAGAGGGCATGTCAGACCCAGTGTAAAATCAGAAGCCAATATGCAACACCAAATGAACACAGACAAAGAGTTCAGATGTGAAAGGCAAGTGACGTGTGAATGTGGCTCATTTTAGAACCAAAGCACTGTTGATGTTTCGAGTGGAAATAAGAGACACAAGCTTAAGACTTTCTAGTTAATGCCTGTGGACCCCGCAAGACTTAGATGAGTAGACATGTAATACAAAAAAACAGGCTGTAGCATCAGCTGTGTGATTAGATATTAGGAAACAAAAATCCCACCCTGACAAAGATTTTTAGGAGAAGTCACGGGAAGTTGTTAACGGAAGATCTTTGAAATAGTAAACAAAATTGGTAAAGATCATCTAAAGGTTCAGTATAAAAGGTTTGAGTGATATTGCGATAATTTTCTAAACTTTTGAAGGGATAAACTTGGAATTAAATCTAAAAGACAATCAGGAATGCATAAATGATATAGGTAGGCTCTCAAAGAATACCATGTTAAATAGGAATTTAATTGTAATGTGTTCCAGTTTTCTATTTCCTGGCTCCCAAACCTCCCCTACTTCTAATCAGTTGTCTTGTAAATTTGGGCCTTAGCCCCAGGGGAAGCTGTGGAAAAAAATCAGATGACAGTACAATGGGTACTTTTCATTGTTAGTACAACCCGAAGCAACTTTTTTCCATGCTGGTTGCTGATAAATTCATTGTCATTTCAGTGCTAGTACAACCCAACGCTGAAGGCATTTCTGTGAAGAGTTTTATCTCGTGAACATGACAACATTGTAACCAGGACAGCTCCTGGAAGAGCATTAATTGCAACTTTGGGATTTATCCTCCCGATGCCCCCAGTCAAGGAAAGAAAGTCATATTATTCTTTTTGTTTCCATAAAGGCCCCATTTGCTCTGGGATACGGGGACCATCCCCTGATAACTTAAATGCCCTAAAGAGTCCCAGGTTCTGCCAAAAGCAAATCTGTTGGACAAACCCAGGCTCTCTCTCTCCCATAACAATGATAATCATAGCTATTTTCAGACTCTGCTTTCCGTAGTTGGATTTCATAGATTAGCAAAGATGGTATAGGAGGACTATTACGTTAATGTTCTCAGGTCACATGGCAACCAGAGAGCCCTGTATCAGTTTAGACATGATGAGGACATAGACCAGGAAGAGAATGACAAGGAACGTGGATAAACACAGGAAGGTCGGTACTGAAAGAAGTTGATGGAGCACCACTTAAGAACCAGGTTTACTATAAAAGAGCGAATATGACAAGAATTAGAAAAATGTCCATTGGTAACCATGGGGTTGAGAAGAGAGTGCTAAGCCATCCGTTTCCCTGATAATGTTTGACATAAAGGAAGAGAGAAGACATTTTATTCCACAGTCCTTAAAAGCTACCTTTGCTAGAGAGTTCATTTCCCTCTTTTCCACTAAGAAGAAAATTAAACCATAAAGCTCCAAACTTTTGTTTTCATTAATTCTGTATTTTTGGGGTTCCTTTTCCTCTATCTCTTTTTACTTTTAGAAGAATGCTGAAAGACAGGTTATACAACAGTTAAAGAAATATCACACAATTGCCACTTTCTTTTAATTAATGCAGTAAGGAATTCAGGCAGCTTTGTAAGGGAAGAAAATTATGTCTGCGTCAGAACACGTACCCACTGCTTTTGAGTTCAAATATCTTATGGTGTATTACCTCTTATTCTAGGGAAATTTGAAAATATCCTGTGGAATTTTCCATCATGCCTCAAAAGGTTAATGATCCTTTACATTCCAAAAATACTCAATGGTGTGTAGATATCTTTGTGCCTGTCTGAATCACCCTGAGCCACATTCAATGTTCCTAGCTCTCCAGCGTAACTCAACCAATCAGATAACTCTTGTATCTTTTTTTTTTTTTTTTTGAGGAATATTAACCCTGAGCTAACATCTGCCGTCAATTCTCCTCTTTTTTCTGGCCTTGACGTGCCTATCTTTCTCTGCTTTATATGTGAAACTCCTGCCACAGCACGCCTTGACAACTGGTGCATAAGTCCACATCGGGGATCTGAACCGGACTGACAAGTGATGCAGGTTCAAGCAATGCAGGTCCACACCGGGGATCTGAACCAGCGAACCCTGGGTCTCCAAAGCAGAATGTGCGAACTTAACCACTGTGCTACTGGGCTGGCCCCCCTTGTATCTTTTTTAATAGTCAAGATTACAGTATTTGAGCCAGTAAAAGTCCCTCTAAAGTCTGCTGGTAGATCTGTTTTGGTTGAATTTGTCTTTTGCCATATTCTATCAGAGAGTGTGGGAGGAGCAGAAGTGGCAAGCCTATTTAGAAATATTTAAATGGTGAGTTACTATGTCTTATAGCAGTAACTATATAGTAAACATATTTATCTTTTCTATGAAAGACTGATAATGCACAATAGAAATAAGCAACTAAAAACCCAAACTGTTGGCACACAGTTGAATTTCTTAACTTTATTTTTTACAATAAACAACCACAAGAGGAACTTGTTTGGGATTTTATGCAATATTCACATATCTTTGTGTATTAAAAATTAGTGTATTTTCTATTCAGAAGTTCTGTTCCAAAATGTAGAAAATCTAAGACATATGAAGTAATTATAAATTATGACAATTTAAATTATGTTTTAATTATTGTAAATTACATGAAATTTAGTGGGAACTATCTTTTTTTTGTTTTTCTTTTGCTGAGGAAGATTCTCCCTGAGCTAACATCTGTGCCAATCTTCCTCTATTTCGTATGTGAGTTGCTGCCACCGCATGTTTGCCAACAAGTAGTGTAGGTGTGTGCCCAGGAACTGAACCTGGGCCACTGAAGTGGCATGCACCCAACTTAACCACTGGGCCACAGGGCGGTCCCCCTGTGAAAACTACCTTTAACCCTTATTGTCCAGGTCTCACACTTTCAATTCCAAGTACCACTATTAGAATCCCTCTCCACTTTCCTGCTCCAAACACCCTCCCTTTCTCTGTTGCTCCCTCTCTACAGTTTTCTTCAATTCTGTAATTTTTTTTGCCTTTCAAAATTATTTATACTCTCATTTAGGTTTGGAAGCATTCCATCATTGAGTTTCTCAATCTATTTCACTTCTCAGCTAATCAGGACTATTATGAATATTCATAAGTTGGTGTCTGTGTCCTCACACATGTGTCTTTGTTTATACTTCCATTTATATGTTCTTTTTTGTCTGGAAATAAGCTGGTAGCATAAATAAACAAATAAGAATATTTTTTATTTCTATAATCATATTCAATTGAAGTTTATTTTTTACCCAATATTAATATTTTAAAGTTACTACTGAATTATTTTTCATGTCATGGTAAACCTTCATCTATATGTAAGATTATTAATTATAGATATTTCTTTCCTGTAACCACAAAAATTGGAAATAGCCTGAAAGTGTGAAAAAGGGAATACATTTGAAGTTTTCCTGTAAAAAAGAAGATTATTCTTTATGAAAATCATCTTCTGGCTATGGAACATCTTTAATCTTCATCTATCCAAATGCTAACTTAGGGATGCATAGAAGGAACTCATTCATTTGAGAAATTATTGGTTGTATCTACAACAGGACAAATGTCTGAATGAAATAAAAAACCAAATCTATCAAAATTCTACTGTCATAATGATAGTTATTTCTCTATCTATTTGCAAGGTTGGAAAATGGCAGCCTTTGAGTTTATGTAATTCTTTCTTCAGGTACAGGAAAAAAATGAATGATGAAGGCAAAAAGTGCAAGTTCTGAAGGCTACTTTGTTCTGCTGGGTTTTTCTAATTGTCCTCATTTGGAAGTAGTTCTCTTTGTGGTTATCTTGATGTTCTACTTGATGACGTTGATAGGCAACCTGTTCATCATTATCTTGTCACACCTGGACTCCCATCTCCACACTCCCATGTACTTCTTCCTCTCAAACCTCTCTTTTCTGGATCTCTGCTACACCACCAGCTCCATCCCTCAGTTGCTGGTCAACCTCTGGGGCCCAGAGAAAACCATCTCTCATGCTGGTTGCATGATTCAACTTTACTTTGTCCTTGCACTGGGAACAGCTGAATGTGTGCTACTGGTAGTGATGTCCTACGACCGTTATGTAGCTGTATGTAGACCCTTGCATTACACTGTCCTCATGCACCCTCATTTCTGCCGTCTGTTAGCTGTGGCTTCATGGGTGAGTGGCTTTACCACCTCAGCCATTCATTCTTCCTTTACTTTCTGGGTACCACTCTGTGGACATCACCAAGTGGATCACTTCTTCTGTGAAGTTCCAGCACTACTGCGATTATCATGCGTTGATACTCATGCTAATGAGCTGACCCTCATGGTCATGAGCTCCATTTTTGTGATCATACCACTTATTCTCATCCTTAGCTCCTATGGTGCCATTGCCAGGGCTGTGCTGAGGATGCAGTCAACAACTGGCCTTCAGAAAGTCTTTGGGACCTGTGGAGCTCATCTTCTGGTTGTATCCTTCTTTTTCATTCCAGTCATGTGCATATATCTCCAGCCATCATCAGGAAATTCTCAAGATCAAGGCAAGTTCATTGCCCTCTTTTATACTGTTGTCACCCCTAGCCTCAACCCTCTAATCTACACCCTAAGAAACAAAGATGTAAGAGGGGCAGTAAAGAGACTACTGGGGTGGGAGTGAGCCCAGATGCTGTGACGTTAACAGTGTAATAGAGCATCTCTTCACCAATGGTTCATTCAACTATCCGTTCGTCAACCTATCTTTCATTCACTCAGTCTATCAGTGCTTATTGATCATATACTCTCACAGTGTCACAGAGTTATTTGTAACAAATATGAAGTAAAGAAGTCTGCCTAAATACTAGTCACTCTCTAATGGAGAAAACGGCCATGTGAAATCAAGATCAAACATCAATCTTAAATTTTTTTCAGTGGCACAAACCTAATAAAACAAAGGTATCCTCTTCTTAACTGAAAATGAAGCATGGAATTTGTTGTAAATACTGATTAAAGAGCCGATGTAATTCCTATGGAAAGATTTTCTTAATTTAAAAAAAACCTAGAATATGTTTTGTAATTTCTTGCTTTTAAAGCATAATTTATCATAAAATTTGTCTTCTATCTTTGGTTTAGTTAAAGATATAGTAAAATACCTTAAATCTTTTCTCCAACATGTTATTCTGTTTTGAATAGTAGTTAATAGTGAGAGAATTTTTGGTCTGTATTCTTTAATATCTCATTAACAATAGTAAGAAAATAAGTGTTATGAATCTTAGCAAGAAAGGCTTTAAAGTAATGCAGCACAAGTCAGCATCTCGTATATCTCTTTTTTTCAAGGCTGTGAGAAGTGTATAGGAGGTAGAAATAACTTATGAAACTGTGATATATAGCTTGTAAAGTAATGGATATTATAGGCTGGGTGTAGTTAGGTAAAGTAAGTGTTTGGAGCATTGGTATAACCGAGGAAAATAAGGAATATCTTAGGCAGGCAGAGTACTGGGTTCTGAAAATGATTTGATGATTCCAATGGATGTTTGAAAGAATTATGTGAAAATATATTTGGAAAAATTTTGTGATAAAAGCTGTATGGAAAATGTTAGGGTTTTTCTTTTTAAGCTCGATTTAATTTGAATATTTTAGGTAAGTAAATTATGAATATCAACTTACATATTTTCTAAATAAAGAAACGTATTTTTTTAAAAAGTAATAATTTTGTTACATATGTTATTGCTAACCATCTCCACTGAGATAACTGTACTATGTATATGACACTAAACTGGCAGCTAGACTGGAATAATGGGTAAGGACAATTCAATATAGAGGAAAATCTTGGCAACATCTGAGTTTTGTATGGTAATGCAAATGTAAGTTGTAGTTTTTGAGGCTTTTAAAGTTTAGGTATCATTGATTCAAACCCTTTTCCTAAATTACTAAAATGAAAAACACATCCCCAAACTCCCTCTCCATTTCCAGTGTGGCTTGTAATTACATCGATTCTGCTGACTTTGTCTTCCCCCTGTGTGTCTGTGATTCTTCCTTCATCTGCAACTGGGCATAAACAATGCTATGGGTGTATTCACTTGTCCTTAACCTACTGTCCAAGAAATGAAGAACCAAAAGTCATGTATATAAAAGAACTTTTAGTAGATAATTGGCACCACAGATAGTGAACCATCACAGAGCAAAAAAACTTATACAAACTTTAAAAAACCTAGTTTAATTCTTTGAACCATCTTGCATTATGGAAGTCTTATTGTTGGGGACGTCTTTTATAGTGTCCTAGTGTCCTAGTCTCTCACTATCTAGGTATTTTCCCATTCTCTTCTTTTTCCTTTTCTGCTTGCAAAATGTGTAAACATAAAGCTTGAAGTTACTCCATGATCAAAGGGCTTCAGAACGACTGTTGTGTTAGTAGGCATGAAAATAACTTTAATTTCGTTGTTCCTCTCCATCAGAGCTCTTGAGTGGCCAGGTGCATTGTAAATAAGCAGTAATATTTTGAAAGGAATCTTTTTTTTTCTGAGCAGTAGGTCTCAATAGTGGGCTTAAAATATTCAGTAAACTCTGTTGTAAACAGATGTGCTGTCACCCAGGCTTGGTTGTTCCATTTCTAGAGCACAGGCAGAGCAGATTTAACATAATTCATACGGGCCCTAGTGTTTTTGGAATGGTAAATAAGCATTGGTTTCAGTTTAAAGTCACCACCTGCATTAGCCCCTAACAAGAGAGTCAGCCTGTCCTACGAAGTTTTAAAGCCAGGCTTGACTTCTCCTCTCTAGCTATGAAAGTCCTAGATGACATCTTCTTCCACTAGAAGGCTGTTTCATCTCCACTGAAAATCTGTTGTATAGTGTAGCCACCTTCATTAATTAGCTAGATCTCCTGGATAACTTCTTGCAGCTCCTTCATCAGCACTTGCTTCTTCACCTAGTACTTTTATATTATAGAGATGGCTTCTTTCTTAAACCTCATGAACCAACCTCTGCTGGCTTCAAATGTTTCCTCTGCAGCTGCCTTTCCTCTCTCAGCCTTCACAGAACTGAAGAGAGTTAGGGCCTTACTCTGGAACGGGCTTTGGTTTAATGGAATTTTGTGGCTAGTTTGATCTTCTACATCCAGACTGCTAAAACTTTTTTATTATCAGTAAGTCTGTTTTGCTTTCTTATCATTTGTGTGTTCACTGGAGTAGCACTTTTTATATCCTTGAAGAGCATTTTCTTTGTATTGAAAACTTTGTTAATTTTTTGGCATAAAAGGCCTAGCTTTCAGCCTCTGATTTCAACATGTCTTCCTCACTAAGCATAATCATTTTTAGCTTTCAATTTAAAGTGAGAAACATGCAACTCTTCCATTTACTTGGAGACTTAGAAGTGATTGTAGGATTATTAATTGGCCTAATTTCAATATTCTTGTGTCTCAAGGAATAGGAGGCCTGAGGAGAGGGAGAGAGATGGGGGAATGTCTGGTTGGTGGGGCAGCTCCAACATAAACAACATTCATCGATTAAGTTCACCATCTTATATGAGTATGGTTCATGGCTCCCCAAAAGAATTATAATAGTGACAGCAAAGATCACTGATCACAGACCACAATAGCAAATATAATAATAATGGAAAAGTTTGAAATATTGTGAGATTTACCAAAACGTGTCACAGACAGGAAGTGAGCAAATGCTGTTTGAAAATGGCACCAAGAGAATTGATCGACACAGGGTTGCCATAAACCTTCAATTTGTAAAAAACTCATTGTCTGCAAAGCACAATAAAGTGAAGCACAATAAAAAAGGTATGCTTGTACATTTGTTAATTTGATAGGTGCATAATGCTTCTTCATTCTTTTCTCTCAAGATGCCTACATTCTAATCCCTGTTGCCTGTGATTATACGTTGTCTTATATGGGCATAAGAAGCTTTACAGATGCAAATAAATTAAAGATATTGAATTAGGGAGATTAACCTCGATTATCCAAGCAGGCCAATGTAATCACAAGAATTCTTCTAAGGGAGAGGGAGGAGGTCAGAGAGGAGACAAGATACTCTGCTGCTGACTTTAAAGATAGAGGAAAGGAATGTAGGTGTCCTCTAGAGGCTGGAAAAGGAATGAAAATAGATTCTCTCCTAATGCCTTCAGAAGAATACATTCCTGTAGATTCATTTTAGTCTTCTTATGTCCAGAATTCTAAGATAGTAAATTTGTGTTGTTTTAAGCCCCTAAGTAAGTGGTAATATCTTATAGCAGTAAGGGGAAACTAACACAGTTGGCATTCTATTGGAAGGAATGCTTCCATTTTAAATATATATGTAATATATATTACATACATTATAATGTGTAATGTATATTATATATAAAATATATATAATCTATCTTTTATTATTTTAATAAGATGTTCTTGACTAATCTCAGACTTTATTTTGGTATAGGAGGACTAATTTTCATATATTAGGTCGCACAACTACCCCTGTAAACAGAGAATTGAGGTTTCCATAATGAGCACCCCACCAGACAAAACCAGGACCTAGCAATATTGTTGACAAATATGTGATTAGTTACGGCATTATATTCCTTTACTCTTTTAGAAAACAGAGAGCTTTTGTGTTGTACTTGGGAATGGAACAACATTGAAGAACAGTGACTGAGTATGGGTTTGGGGATCCATTTACCACAGGACTGAAATATCAAATTCTTGAAATTTGAAGACTTCAAATTACTTGGACTCTTCATGAGTTTTTACACTTGAAATTCAGGCTGACTAGTTAGTGACAATGAGAATTCAACTCTCCATGTCTATACTCATGATCTAACCTAAAATGAAACAGGGATGTGTTGCTGAGGGAAGGAATCTGACTTTTTTGAAGATGAGGCCTAGTGGGTCCCTGAAATATTACATTAAAAGAACACTGACTATTAGTGTGGGCTTGTGAGATCTGAACTGCCAAGATTCTTAAACAGTGATCTTTGAATTGAATACATATGAAAAGGCATTCATCCTCTGAGACTTTGGGGTTGCTGAGTAGGGCCTTTGAGGGACAGAGTCCCTGTTGTCAGTCTCCTCTGGCCAAGAGCAGACTTGTACATTTTGACCTTACATGTGCTACAACATGAAGACATTTGGGAAGCATTGTCTATTCCCCTCCCCTGCCAAGTGACTGATGACCTTTCCTGGTTGCCAGGGGCTGATTTAGGTTCCAAGCAGAACACTCCTAGTGTTCTTTGCAGTTTGTTGTGGACTTCCAGGGTCCTGGCAATCTGAGGCTGATGTGGTGCTATGGAGTATCCGTTTACTGCTACGAAGTTCAGCTTTATACAAGTCCTGGAGAAGCTGAGTGAGCCCATGTCAGCATTGCCAAGATACATGAGACTAATGTCAGATTAATAAGGCTTAACCTAAGGGATAATAGTAAGTACATCTATATTTGAACTCTTTCGTTTTTTTTTTTAATGTGAAAGCATTCCGTATCATCTAGTTAACACGTTCATCACTTCACATTTTCAACTTGTTTGGTGAGCACTTTTAAGTTCCACACTCAGCAAATTTTAATTATATGACACAATGTTATCGACCATAGACCCCGTGTTGTATATTAGAACTTCAGATCTCATTCACCTCATAGCTGAAAATTGTACCCATTCTGTACGTCTTCTCATTTTTCCCGCTTTCCAGACACTGGCAACCACTTTGCTACTCACTTTTTCTATAAGTTTGATGTTTGTTTTTTTTTAGATTTCACGTACAAGGGAAACCATACCATATTTTTCTTTTTTTGTCTCACTTATTTCACTTATCTTAATGTCCTAAGATCCTTCTATGTTGTCACAAACAGCAGGGTTCTCTTCTTTCTTGTGTCTGAATAACATTCCATTGTATACACATACCACATTTTTTGATTCATTCATCTGTTGATGGAAACTCAGGATGTTTCCATATCTTGGCCAATGTGTGCAAAACTGCAATGTCCATGGGAGTGCAGTTGTCTCCTTGATTTATTGTTTCCTTCTCTTCTTGGTTTACTGAGAGACTTTACTAGGAAAGGATGTGGAGTTTTGTCCAACACTT